CAACAAAATAGAGGAAGAGTGAAGGGCAAAGGAGGGGAGGGGGGGAATGTTCCTGAAAATTGTGTATATACTAACAGACTTTACGGGCTCACCATAGCCACTTCGGTGATGGGGTAAAGTACAAGAAAAACTAATTACTGGAGTTAAATGACAATGCAGCTTTAAATGTCAGATATTGTCACACAAGCAGAGAGAATACAGGAAGATAAAATTGTAAATAAGGCAGTATTTCCGAGGGGCTATCTTATACGGTTATGTGAAACATTAGAAAAGGTGGAGTTACTGCTATTCTGATGAATGACTAATGGGTAAAGAACTAATACTTGACAACCCTTGAACAGTTGACAATGGTGCTGGAGATCTGCAAATCAGAATGATAAAACTGATAAATCATTATTTCCTACAATCTACAATACATGGACTAAAAGGAGCTAATGACAAAGGGGAGGGCCTTTTAATATCATGAGAGATTATTGTAAAAGCCCATACAGATAAATCATGATTGTTGATCAGTTTTTACTTCAATTTAAAATTAATAGACTGGGAACCTAGAAAGCAAAAAAGTACTTTTGGACCAGCAGATTCATTAACCACATCCTGGAGCCTCATGTATCAGCATGTAAAACAGCTCAAAAGAATGGGAGGGGACATGTCATCAATGCCGTATTTACTTTGTATTTCATTATTTACAAGGAAAAGATGTATTTGGCTTTCAGTACCTTCCCCCATAGGGCGAGAGCAACGATGTCATTATGGAAATCAAATATTCAATGCATTATAATTTACAAGAGATTTACAAAGTTCTTTAATGAATTTGAAAAAGATCTGTTAGGAAAGAGTAAATGACATTTATGCCAAATTGTGATATATATGATGAAACAATTTATACCAGTACAGAGGTACAGAACTAGAAAGTAGGATTAGTTCAAATTATGAGATGGCCAGAAATCAAAAGATTTGGAGAGGAATTATATATTAACAGAACGGTTTTCCAACGGGAAGATCCTGTGTGACAAATCTACTTCATTTCTATGAAAAAGCCAAAGAAATTCCAGGAAAGATTATTGGAATGATTGCATTTACTTGGACCTAAATAAAAGCTTTTGACACAGTCCCACACAAATGGTTGCTCTGGAAACGGCAACATACTGGAGGGTGTGACAGTCAAGACGTTTTACACGGATGAAAAGTTTTCCGACAGAAAAATGAGGGTAGTAATCGGAGAATGTACCATATAGGAAAAATGTTACTAGAGCAGCACCACAGGGTTCAGTTCTAGCACTAGTGATATTCACTATCTATATGAATGATCTACCAGATTGAATACAAAATTGTATTAATACATTTGCTGATAATGCCAAGTTACTAGGGAAGATAAACTTAAGACTGTCATGCCCTTCAATGACTTGGATGAAGTGTGTGAGCAACACTTGGAAAATGGAAAATCGTGTGAAAAATGCCACATTATGGAATGTGGAACAGGAGAAAATCAGCTCTGCAAACCTACAAATTATGAGGAAAAAAATGTAAAGAATTCTTATAAAGATCTACGGGTGGTTCTGGATAGAAAACTGTCACCTGAGGACCATGAAAGGACATCATGCAAGGAGTTTATACTGCACTAACAAAAATATCAATTATAAAAGATTCTAAAACCACAAGTTAGTCACAGATGTTATTGTCAATTATTTTTATTTTTGCACTGTAATGTCTTTTTTAACAAGATGTACTTATTGGAGCAATCATAATGAAGATTATTATAAAGTTGGAATGTATTTCCATTTGAATGAAAATGGAAAACAAGTGTGTGGTGTAGCTGCTTCCCGACATAATAAAGCAGCCATCAGCTGACTGGCGATCAGTGTGTGGGGAAATGAGGGAGGACAGGAGTGGATGCCACCCTTCCTCACCAGTTTGTGAAAATATAATTTTCATATTAAATTGTTTGCAAATAATCACTATCATATGCCAGTCAAAATAAATAATGAATAAACTGATCGTGAATATTAGAGTGAGTGTAAATCCTCATCATTACGCAATATTTGCACCCACCAATGACTCGGTTATGACTGATACAAGACTGTTTGCCAATGATTACACAATGTGCCACGTTCAAAATGACACACAATAAATCAATGTTGTGATTTTTGTTTATTATAGATGGGAAGGAAGTAGTCATGATGAATTTGTATTTGCCTGAATGTGCTTCAGGGTTACTTGATAACAAAAAATTTACTACACTAATCGCCTAGAAAGGTATGTAACAAACCTCAATATGCATTAGAGGGATGTAGGCCTTTTTTCTGGGGGTAGGGGTTGCCTACAGTCTAATGAGTCAAATGAAATCCCTTATGGAACAACCGGCCTCACCTCATAGCAAGGACACTATTCAAGCACTGTCATGCATAACCTATTAAGACATTTTGTGTGACTTCTATATGCTAGCAAATTCATTTGCAAACATTGAAACTAAATCTAGTTGTAACTCAAAACTGAGAAAACAAGAATAAATATTTTAAATGTTGCCGAGTGGGACCCTGAGATGGCCGAAATGTTTATGGAAAGAAATGAGTGAATGGGCAGGAATGGTGTTAAAAATTCCATTATATGAATCATAATTTGGGTAGCATAGCTGAATATATAGAAGTATAATCATTTTACCACAAAAATTACAAAAGTACAGATATACATGCATATGATTAACCCCTGAACACTGCAAGCAATTTATGTGTAATTACCTTAGTAGTTATAGCATGAGAGCTATGCTTGTGTCCTGTCTTCCAAGAATTGTCATATGGTGCTTTGAAACTACTGTACTGATGATTTTAACCTTCACAACCACCTTACTTGTTCAAAGTGTCAACCACTGCTGGCAAAAGGGAACTTTCTTTTTTTTTTTTTGCAGCTATTTTTTAGTTTGAACCTATATCATCTTGTTCTTGAAGTGGCAATCTCCAAAAATTCTTGTCAATTTTGTAGATATCTATTACCTTTTGTACATAATGATCCTATCACCTATTATTCTTCTATCTTTTAGTTTGGTATATTTAGCACCACTTAACCTCTCTTAATAGCTTTTTTTGGCCTCATGAAGGTCATGAACAATTTTTAATATTTCACTAAGTACAGTACTTAAAAAGCAATTCTGAAATTGGAAAGCATAGCATATGCTTGCTCCTCACAATGTTCTTTATGGGGTCCTCAGTAACGGTTTTCTATCCAGAAACACCAGATCTTATTTTATCAGAATTCTTTAAAGTTTTTCACAATTTGTAGATCGTGTTTGGCATATTTTCTCCTAGTCTACTTTCCATGACACCATTACACAGAAATAACACGCATTTATTCACATTAAATCCCATTTGCTGTGTTCCTCCATACACATTTTTTCCAGGTTTTCTTGAACTAAATGACAATATTCTTCCCTAGTAGCTTGGCATCACCAGTAAACCAGTTCATCTAATTCTGTTTTCCATTTCCTTCTGGTAGATTATTTACTTAGACAATGAACATTACTGGTCCAAGAATTGAACCCTGTATTCACCTAGTTGTGATTGCGGGGGTTGAGCTCTGCTCTTTCAGCCCGCCTCTCAACTGTCAATCAATCAACTGTTACTATTTTTATTTTCCACCCCCAAACACACACATGCACCCCCCCCCCCCCCATGAAGCAGCCCCTAACAGCTGTCCAACTCCCAGGTATCTATTTACTGCTAGGTAACAGGGGCATCAGAGTGAAAACTGCCCATTTTGTTTCTGCCATCACCAGGATCAAACCTAGAATTACAAGTCCAGAGCGCTGTCCACTCGGCTATCAGGCCTCCCCCTGTGGTACTCCACAAGCAACATTTCTCCAGTCCTGATACATTGCCTAATTACTGCCATAATTTTTCTATCAGATATCACACTGCAGAATATGTGGAATCAACTGACTGGTGGCTGGGTGAGGAGTAGGATGATCTGGGAGAGGGAGGGGGGGGAAGGGGGGATGATTGTGCTGCTGGGGTTGAATTTTAGCACTTTGGCTCTGCCTCTGTCTTTAATCAACTGGTGCACAGCTTCCAAAGGTCCAAGGGCTATCGTCATCTACAAATGAAGCTGATGGCTTCAGAGCATGTGTAAAACTACACAGCATCTATTTGAATAAATTATCAAAGTTCTGCTGTAAGTCAATCACTCTCCTCACAACAATTTAAACTATTATATGACATGTGAGAGGGAAGGGGGGGGTACCAGGCCAAATAACTATACATATCCTCCTTGCACCATGAACCATAAGGCTTCAAGCAAATACGTGAAAGTCTTCTCTAGATATCGCAGACGCCAAACATTGAGAAAAATTAAAATGGTTATTTTTTTCAGGCAATACCTATTCAAGAAAATCCATTTACTGGGATCTTGTATGTTTAAACTTTGCTCAACTTTTTTTTCCTAAATAATTTTTATTAGCAAATTATAGATCTGAACATTGTAAATTTTATTCTTTTGCCCATTAATCACCAAATACTTCCAATAACAGTCTTCAAGTCATTCTCTTGGAAATACAGCATCCACTGTGACCAACTATTGGCACACATTTCCCTTACCATTCTCCACTCACACTATTACAAGAAAAATTCTTCCATTTGCCTTCCTTCACACTGCACCTCTAACTATGCTTCACTACCATAACAACAATCACCACACCTCTACAGCTCTCACTTTTATACCGCGCCAAACATTTTACAACAATAATTATCCAATTATGTTAATTCTTTATTCAATATGTACATAATTAAGCTATGTTGCATAATGTGGCAATTCAACTTTTCAAATAAATATTATAGCACAAAAACATTACAGTACTTACATGTCTGCAAGTTAGTACTTACCACTACAAAACATGCACATAAACTTAAATTTTAAATTTAAGGTTTCTCACAAACCAAGAACACGTTATTGTTCTAAAAAAAAATTCTCAATATAAAAACAAATTAGAAAAATGTGCTTTATCTACTTACCCACTCTATACGCCTCATCTTGTGGGCAGGAGGTCCAATATCCATATTGGAACGCCCATCACCACCGGATCCCTGGTGTCATATGCAAATACAGAAGAAAAAAATATAGGCTACCCTGTAAAGTTTCCCTAGTAAACAGTACCAAGGCTTGCAGAATACCTCTCTCTCTCTCTCTCTCTCTCTCTCTCTCTCAAACACATTCAACACACTTACATTAACATTTCTCATTGTCGATATAATGCTCTCTCCCAAATTCAAAGACGCAAAACATATTATCACACAAGGGCAATCAAGGGTATCCCCAGGCCAGCATATCTCGATACAAACAGGGCAGTGTCAAAAGTACAGTTTGAGCAATTATTTAACGTATGAGAAAACTGCAACGAAAATCTTTCACATACATTTATAACCTATACTACAAACAAATCCAATGATCCTACAACTATTACGTTACCTGATCATTTATTCCCAAACCAATTGTTGATTGTGCCTTGCCCCCAATCTAAACTTATTAAATTTATTAACACTAACATCCCGACCCATCAGTACGTTCCTGACAGTGTTCCAAGCCTCTCGAGATCCTCCTCAGCAACACTACAATATTTACACAATGTTTCCTCAGTTTTAAAGTTATAGTATTACTATAACTTTGGTGTCAAAATATCTGCAAATTATATTCCTCCAGTATAAATGCAAATCAAGATGCGATTTGACAATTGAATTTGCACGAGTGTTGAATAAAGGAATTCTTATGAACTTCAACATTCCTTATATTTCTCAACATTGTTCACTTAGTTTTCAACAAATAAAAATAAAACAAATGTGCACATATTAACACATTTGCTGCTGATGCCAAGCTACTAGGGTAGATAAACTTACATGACTCGTGCCCTTCAAAAAGACCTGATCCAAAATGTATGGAGCAACACTTTGCAAATATTATTTAAGGGCATGTTCAATGTGCCCATAAAGAAAGAAAAATAGGATTTTTTTTTTTTAGCTACATGGCTCTAAAGATACTTTATGCTCTGGCAACACATTCCTACAAATATGAAAATCAGATGATTTTAAGTATTTCATAATTTATATATAATAAAAAAAATGTAATCTGCAGCAACCTGAGTGAAAGTGACAAGTCATTTTGCATCACCATAAATGGTTTTATTAATATCTCACGAGTCACACAAGATACTGGCAGTGCCAGGCTGTCGACCATAGAAATTAGTCACACCTATTTAAGTGTTAATTGTTCACAGGTTGAGTAGTTCCATCAGGTGACCTCGCTCTCTGCTAAGCTGATAATTGCAGACGGGTGGATGTGTTGTGTCCATCAAACAAGCCGCTGTCCAGGTATGGTAGGAAGATAGCCAGAGGCTATCTCCTGGTAGGCAGAGTTTAGCTCCCAGTTCCCCCTTAAATACCCGTGGAACTGTACAGTTGAGATGCAGAATTGAGAGCCGAGTTATAGATAGATACAGACAAGGAGAGCGAACCCTCACTAGGTCTACACAGGCCTGTCCCAAGCCGGTTGGGACTGTCAGCCGCATCACCCCTCCTTGCTAACCATCTTATACTCAGACTTTGGTGAGTAAACTTTAAAGGATGACATATTTGGTGTTTTCCAACTCATGTGCCGTGTGATTTTCAGGGGACAGTCAGCCGTAGTTGCTCTCAATTTTTTGTGTGGTGACAATTCTGAATTAATGTTAACATTTGAACATCAAGTGAAATGATTGAATGGTAATACTTATAAATACGACAAAAGGATTCTTGACCGATTTACATCCTTACAGTTGTTACTTGATAACATTACATTGTTGTAAAGACAAGTGCCATGCCTTGTCTTATAATTAAACCTTAAACTGTGCAATACTTCAAATGACACGTTGAGTAACTGATGCAAAAGTGCACCTTTTCATTTATGATGCTTTGGAGTACCGCGCATGAGTTAAACGGCCCGCGGCTACACAGGGTTCACCATCACCTTCCTCAGGGCTCTTGTAAACAGCTGCCATTTTAAACAAAAATTGTGGGCAACATTCCCGGTGTGAAAGCCTCAGTACCGAGTGAGCAACCAAGGCTGGTGCACGCAGCATGAGCTCTCAGCACTGCTGTTCAGCTTTTAACTACAGCATCGCCTAAAAATGTAAAAAATACATGTAATGTATTATTTAGCGATGATAGTATTACAGAAGACCCCTGACTGATAAAAATTACCATGATTCTGATAATAGCAGGATTGTTGTGATAATTTGCGCTGTGCTGTGGGAGTAGTAATGTTGAGGGTGGGAGGGCTGTAGCGCTGTCTGACAAATCTGTGTGGCCACCTGTTGCTGTCTGCACTTACTCTACTAGCTTAGTGGGTTGCTATGGTGAACAAAACATGCAGATACATATATATAACATCTACATATAGTGAATAAAAGCAAAAACAGTGTGGTGGGAGGAGAATGTTGGCGAGTGAGGTGAGGGAGGGAGGGAGTGGCAGCCAGTGGCTGGCTAGTGTGGCGACCACTCTTCGTTGCCTTTTGACTCAGCATACCAACTTAGTGGTTCATTATGGTGAACACAAATGTAGATATTTATATTTAACGTATAATATATAGTGCAATAACAGCAAAAGGAGTGTTGGGAGAAGCCATTTTGGTGAGGAAGGTGGCATCATCTGCATGACTTGTCACGCTGTGTTTAGGTGGCCACTATGCTCTTTGGGCACTATACCAGCTTAGTAGTTATGGTGAACAAAACATGTAGATACTTATATAATTTGTGTAAATAGTGTAATAACATCACAAACAGTATACTTTAAGGAGGAATTTTAGGGTCTGGCCTTGAACCAGTGTGGAAGGGAGCATCAATTGTGTGTGGGCCACCTGTGACCTATATAACCTGAGTATATAGTGTCATAACAGCAAAACTATTTGTTTATTGTTTTATGAACATAATTGAATCAATAAAATGATCACAATTCTTTTGAGTAAAGCGATGATTCACACATATAAATATATCACACAAGACACCATTGAAAAATATTACTACAAAAACTAAGAAAAAATCAGATATTGAAATAATTGGGTAATAATATTTTTGTGGCAACTCCCGCCTGACAGCTCGGGCGGAGCATACCACCACCGACGATTGCTCTGTCAACGCCTCTTTTTTTTTTTTTTTTTGGCCAGACTTCCCCACCCTATTGCAGCCAAAATATGCCACCTACGATTTTGTTATTATTTTTCTGTGATCAGGGAACACAAATGAACACTTTTATAAGAGTAAATATTTTTTTTTTGTGCCTGTGGGTGTTGAAGGTCAAATAGCCCAGAGCAGCTTAGGAGTTAACTATTGAATGGATGATGGCACCAGTTTCCACTATTTTCCTCCTTTCTACTTCTCTCCTTACTCTCCCATTTTCTCTCATTCTAAAACTTCCTCACTCCACCGAGTTTTCTTCCTTTCTCCAATTTCCGATACATTATACTTTTCTATAATTAAAAATGAGTTTCTTAAAGCGTATGTATTCATTTTAAAATATGTTCAGTGGCAACTCCATGGCCTAGAGCTTTACAGCCATGGTAACATCAGTTGCCCTCAGTGTCGTGAATGGAGTTTGATTACGCTCCCAAATGAAGCACTCCTGGAGGTCACTGTTCAAATCAATTTTATTGACTATTCCACATGTTAAATCAAATTATTCAAAAAGAAAGCAATGAAAATACAATTTGAAATAAATACCCGGTAAGTATTAAAAGCTATAATTCTCTTGTCAAAACAATGCCACCGACCAGACACTACTGTGGACGTATGCTCCTATCGGGAGGGAAATTCCACCACGTAAAATATTTTCCATGGTCTAATACAGCTCTGTAGTAAGCATACAATTGGAAAGCCCTGAACACACAGCAATATATTAATTATATCTTACTGTGTATACACTATACATTACAGGTTACAGTATGCATGTATTAGTTACACATGAACACTTTTTAGTATGAATATAACTACTAATGTATTACCCCAAGAAATAAGATATACAAATCCAAATATCTACCTGTAAATGTGCCGTGCAGAATTGATTTTTTTTATATTTCATGATTTTTTTCTATTGTTTGAAAAGCAATATGTTTGAAGCTTCACCACAATGAAGCTCCACAATATTTAACAAATGTACAAAGTTTGATGAGAATTGGCCGACATCTACCTCTTCTATTAGTGGCACCAACTTTGAACTTCATTTACTCAAGTCAGCTAACGTAACTACATTAAGCAAAATCAGCTTAAAAAACTAAACCAATTCTCATGAATTTCACATATGATATGTATTGTATTTGCATTTTTTAGTTTAAATGTAATTTATTATTATAAATTTAGCATTAGTAATAAATGTGCAAGTTATGGATCAAATTCAAATTCTCAGAAATAACCCAATTTGAAGATCATTGTCAAATAAGCTAATTTTTTTTACTATTTGTATTAATTTTAAGGTTATTGCTAAACCTTTGTCAGAAGTTTTTAATTTTGTGTATTTATGACATGAAAATGTGAAAACTATCTACTTTCAATTTCACACTCTTAAGAATAGTCTGGAATGCACCCTTAACATGAATAAAATGTCATGTTATGGCATGTGGAATACAAAATAGAAGGCCCCCACATACACCTATAAATCATGTGAAAAGACCTTAAAGTACTCTGATAAGATATCTAGGGATAGTTTTTGAGGAACCTGAGGACCACAATGAACACTGCAAGGAGGCCATGCTATACTTTCCAAGTTCAGAATCTCTCCTATTCTCTAGGAAGCTGTAATCATTAGGTTGATCCATTAGGTTCAGCGGTCATCATCATACAACGATTTAAACAACTGCTGTCTGAGTATTACATGTATATTGTAAATATGGATATAATAGCTCTGTGGATGTAAATAAAGAAAAACAAGTGATGAATGTAAATAAAGCAGATGTAAAACAAGTGTGGATGTAAATAAAGAAAAACGAAGAAAAAATCAGCGAAATATCCGAGAATAAAACAGGAAATGTCGGCTAAGTCAAGCACCTGGTATTGAGAAGTGTCAGGCGCGGCCTTGTATTCCCCCTCCACTCAGTGGAATAAAATATTTACTTATTTTTGTGTTTATTCTTACATTTTGCATAAAAATTAATTCTATAATGAAAAGTATTTTGGAATTTAATTTTTTGTGCATAGGCGGGTATGACCATTTCTCTATAGCCGTTGTCCAAAGGTTAACCCCTGGGCAGCGCAGTTATTAATAGCTGACAATACTGCTGTACGCAAGAAAAAAAATAATTTCCTTCTAAAAATGTTAAAATGTGTTCCCCGATTACAGGAAAAACAATTTATTACTTACCATTGACATGAATGAGCCAAGAAATCTCACCGTAACGTCATCAAACTTGTTCACTCGGTGCACGTCCCAGTGGCGTCAAACACAGCATTCAATCAGCCGAGGTTGTAACCGATTTATCCTCGTGGCATTATTTACGATGTCAGAAGTATTTTATCAATTTTTTTCATTGACATTTGTTCAATACATTGTCACTGTTTTATTATAATAAATCTTGCAGAAAATCAATAAACGCTCGCATATTAGTGTCACAATTATGCACACAAATGATTTCTTTTGCAGCAAATATAATATGTATTCAGATTTTTCATCAATATATACATGCACTCACTCAACATGTACAGGTTTTTGCCCCATTATTGGACATTAAAAGTTCTGAAAAGTTTGAAACTGAAATCCTTCCCATAATAAAAGGGCACATCACATGCTTGTTACCATGTTAACACCAATTTACATTTGTGGCCTCCTTTGTGTGGTCTTACAATGCACTCATACTGGGCTCTTGCACACTTTTAAATTTATACTTTGTAAATATATATTTACAAAATTAAATTTTCAGTAGTAAATTTTCTATTTTGTGTAATTGTAAGGCCTCCCTAAAAGCTATTGGGATCTGAATGCCTCAGAGAAATGTCTCTGCTAAACTTTGTTAGTAATTGTATCATCTATGCCCACTATGGGCACGAACAGAGGGTTAAGTAAGTTGAGAGCGCATTCATGCTTCTTTTTCTCCATGCTATAGCATTTGCTTGGCAAACAGCTGACACGAACAGCTTAACTACGCCTGGTAACACCACACACTACTGTAGGATTAGTTAAACTAATATTAGACTCCACATCACTAAAGGTATAAAATGAGTCATCTGCCACGTATTGGTGGCCCAAAGCAACATCATGCTGCTGGTGGTTGTGGTGGCAGCGGTGGTGGTAGCAGTGGTGGCAGCGGATGGTGGTGGCGGTGGTGGCAGCGGTGGTGGTGGCGGTGGTGGCAGCGGATGGTGGTGGTGGTGGCAGCGGTGGTGGTGGCGGTGGTGGCAGCGGATGGTGGTGGTGGTGGTGGTGGTGGTGGTGGTGGTGGTGGTGGTGGTGGTGGTGATGGTGGTGGCAACGGCGGTAGTGGTGGTGGTGGCAACGGCGGTAGTGGTGGTGGTAGCGGTAGTAATAGTGACTACTACATGCATTTTGGTTTTCTTCTAGTGCCTCAGTGATTTTGTCGTAGTATTCACCTCAAGTAGTGGTCAAGTAGCTGCGAGGGGCATGATCTTCCTGCTCTAAATCCATGTTGGCCAGGGTTGTGGTGGTCATTGGTCTCCATGAAACTGGTGACCCGACTCCTGATCACATACTCAAATACTTTTATTATGCGAGATGTTAGTGCAACTTGTCTATAATTCTTTGCCAATTTTTTGCTCCCTCCCTTGTGTAAAGGAGCTATGTCTGCAGATTTAAGTGCATCTAGTATCTACCCCATGTCCAAGCTCTTCCACCGCACTATACCGAGTGCCTGCACTACTGGCACTTTGCTTTTCTTTATAAATATTGAATTCCTAGAGTCAAAACCCAGGGCTGATTGCATTGGCATGTTGTAAATTCCTCTCAAAATCTGCCCTGCTCGTGTTGATATTAGTTATATTTTCAGGAGTTTGGATATCAAGCATAAAGAAGTTGCCCACTTTTGTGCTGTTTATTGGGGTGCTAAACATGTCCTTGTACATCTTTTTTAGGATTTCACCAATTTCTTTGTCATCTATGTATGAACCTTCACTTGTACAAATAGGTTCAATACCGACAGTGGTTTTTACTTTTGATTTCACAAAAATGAAAAAATATTTTGGGTTTTTCTTTATCTCTTGTACACCCCCCGACCTTGTTATCGGACCTCAATCATTTGTTTATTTCATCTATTCATTTACGATCCGGCCCCAGGTGGTACCTACACAATGGAGAAGCCTATGTGGTTCCGCGGCCGGCCACCAAGTTGTCAGTGGTGCCACTGTTTGCTGGCATTCAATCCCCAACCATCCAAGTTGTTGGGCATCCCCCCCCCCTTCCCACTCCTGTTTCATTCCAAATCCTTTTTAAGGATTTCACCCTGATCCCTTGGCTTGACACTTTCTCATGATAGTTCCCTTCCCTTGGCAAAACCTCCTCAGTGAAATTTTAGAAGGACCCTTATGTTAACATTTACAATATTTACTAGGGACAGGTTTGGAACAGTCATGGAAAAGATGGAAAGGACTGCCTAGACCTTTTTTTTTTAGACAAAACTCCACTTTCGTATAAAAGTTTATGTGCATCCCAAAGTTGGTAAAAATTTGCCTAGCTCCTGTGTAAAATTCAAATGGCAGGGTAGGGCAGGACTGGGCATTTTGAGGTCTTACTATATGACATGAATTGGTTAAACACTATTTTTAAAACCTTGAATGTGGTAGGGATTGTGGATGGTGATTGTGGTGTTGATGGGTGGTGGTTGAGGGTAAATGAATAAGATTTATTGTCAGAAATAAGATGGCAGTGACTGGGTTAAGAGTGCTCACCTATCATGTACAGGTAATGTCTGGCACATTATGTGCTGTTGCCTATATTTTTTGAACAGACATTTTTAAATCTCTAAATGTACAATCGGTTTCATTTGCTTTTTAAATTTATTTGGGCAGCGTCAACCTCCTTCCAAATCATCTCACTTGTTGACTGCCACAAGCATTAAGCATTGTCCTCTTGATAAAAATATTGTTGCAATAAAGTAACACTATGATAAAAGTAACTTAAGTTTTATCATGTGCCTACAATATAATTTTAAAAGCCTTTGTATTGATTTGTAACAATGAAAAAAATTATGGCTGCCTATTTAATTAATCTATGAGCCAGACCTGTAAATAATTTTTTTTGTTTTAGTGTTATCGTTGTCTTGTACGGGTCAAATATCAGCAATTTCAGACAAGTTTATCTGACTTAGACAAGTCTTATATGGACTTTGATTTAGTCCTGTAGACACAGGGCTACATCAAAGATTAATTAAAGATGTAGCCATAATTTTTTTTACATGTTTCAAGTCAATATGAAGGGTTTTAATACAAATTACCAGAATAAGAAAGCAAGATTAACTTACAAATCAACAAGATATACCTACTGGAGATAAAGATACAAGCATGACAAAGTGGTTAAAAAAATAATAATCAACTTACCGAGGAAAGGACAGCATTCAAGATATTCAATGCAAGCTTAGATTCAGTACTCCCCATATGAGTAAGCTGGTTAACCGCTCCAACAATATCTGAAGAACGACCACTATCCATCAGCCCACCAGATCCCCTGGGCGTAGGCAAGAATCCAGCTTGATTTCCTGCAGCAACAGCTGGAGCCATACCTGTCTCCCAGGGGCTAACCACCTGCCTACTGAAAATATTATGACAAATGACATGAGAAAAGGGTGAGATAGTGCAGAGAATAAATAACTAATGAGAAAAAAAGGAAAGAAAATAAGCAGAAGATTGATAAAAACAATTACTCAAAAGCCTTGTACTGCATCTACATTTCAGAGAATTACCTCCTATATCACTAGTTTTTACACAGTAATTCCAATTTAAAGTCCAATTCAAAATTATTAATTAAAAAAATTACCTGCCATAACCAGCATGGCTATAGGATGAACCTCCATAAGTGGCAGTATCACCATAAGATGCACCACCACCATAACTGGCTCCACCATCATAAGCAGATGATCCCCCATAACCAGAAGAGCTACCATAGCTTGTGCTTCCATAAGCTGAAGTACTACCATAACTTGAAGCAGTGGCACCCAATCCATAACTGCCCATGGTGCTGTTGGTACTTCCTCCCCCTCCATAACCTCCAACACTTCTGTATCTTGGTGCACTATAACTGCTACCATGGCCATAATCAATAGTCTCCCTTGATCGCTGCATGCTTCCTGATCTGTAAAAATAAAGTCACTTAAATGTCTTCTTTTTATATACTTAGTCCCTATTCTAGATTTTATATAACCAAAATTATGTGGAACTGAGTTCCACACTGGTCTGAGCTAGGATTCAGTTGCCAATGGCAGCTGAGAGAGGTATAACTATATAGAGAGCAGTGAAGGGAAGGCCTGGAAAGTGTACAATGCAACTGGGGATTTGCCAAAACAAGGTTGAACACAAATGTTATATTTACAGTAATCTAGTTTAATCAGGTAACCTAACACTGAATTATAATGTAGATGAATATTAGTGTGTTGCAAGGTACTGTATTACATACCTGGAAAGGGTTTTGGGAGTTTTTCTTCTCCCCAATCTTGGCCTGAGGCCAGGCTTGAAACACAGGAAAGCAAGTACAAAATAACTGTCTTTTGATCCAGATTAAGCATATTTACCCTTTAGGAAGTGGTTATAGCCATATGTTAAATCCCTGGACCAATGTAGTTATTACTTGCCAATTTTAGTCATTGCTCAATTTTCCATACAAGTGTAAACATGGTAATACTACATCTATATGGATGTAACAAGTATTAACCCTACTCTTACACCCATGAAAATTCTATAGTTTTTAAATGCTTATAATGTGATGAAGTTATGTACCAGTTGTCTTCCAATTACACTCATCATCAAATTACAATTTGACATTTCCTGTTGGTGTTTCATAGTGCAATGGTCCCCCTCATCAAGCTTCCTCTTTAGGTGCAAGCGAGGATTTTTTTTTTTTTTTTAATTTTCCTTACCTTTTGCACACAAAAATACTTCTTCCAAAAAAGGTACTTATAATTTCAATATTTTTGCACACAGCCAGAGTGGCACCAATTATGATGGCTTCATTTAGGGATGCTCGTATAGGGTACCAATAATACAGTCTTGTTCCTCCTGTATTCACAATCTAGAATTACCAATTTGAATCCTGGACTGGACAATAGTTGGGCACATTTCCTATCACCTAATGCTTTTGTCCACCTAACAGTAAATAGGTACCCATAAGTTAGCCAGCATGTTGTGGGGTTGCATGCTGGGGGGGGGGGGGTCAGCAATTTGACCTGGGGGGAGGGGAAGGCTCAAAATAAGCCTAACATGCACTATGTATAAACTAGCTGCCTGTCCCAACAATGAATTATTATTAATTATTTAAGAGGGTAAGAAGTACAAAGACAAAATTTGGAGTCTTGTTAATTCCATACCTTTCTCTTCTAGATCCTGCACCAAAACTAGAATCAGTGAAGTAACGCTCTGGCATCCTGGAAGAAACAATACAGTACTGTAGTTAACATGAAATTTCCTTCAACACATTCCAATAACCATACAGTACCAGAAAAATGGTAAAATTTTAATTATGGGCTCTTTCTTCTTTAATAGAAATACAATATACTTTATTCACTTTAGTTAATTCATTGAATAAATGAGTGAATTCACTCACTTCAGTGAATTTAGGTTGATCGTACCTGAGCAACCAGGCTGTGATTACATATTTAAACCTGCTAGCAGTGGCATCCAACAGCCTGGCTGACCAGTCCAACAACCAGGAGGCCTGGTCAAAGACTGGGACGTGGGACACTGATCCCCAAAATCAACGAAAGGTAGTTTTAGTACTGCTGTATTAAAAGCACAAAATAAATTTATAAATTCACATATACAGTAATTTCCCGACAAACTCTGTTCTTTTAAAAAGGGGTAAATGAACATGTATAAATGAATATGCTGTACTATGTCAGCCTCGGAGCAATCCTAAAGTCCTTGGAAAAGATGACCCCTTACATTTAATACTTAAGTTTCAATATTAAATATATTTTCAATACCCAAGAATAAAATACCTGCCAAGGATTTGCCAGCAGCCGGCCAAATCCTTAAACTCCAAACTGCATCAGTAAGGTAATTTCAGCATTTAAAATTGTTAATTTTGAAACTTGGCAAGGAAACTGTCCAGTACTATGCAGAAATTGATCGTAATGTGGCTCAAAAATAACCCAACACATGAAATGAAAGTGACTTGGTCAGTCCTGAACCATTAATTTCTTTTATTTAGGAAGATAATTTCTTTTTTTTTAGGAAAATAATAGGCTACAAGATGACCTAGACAAACAATAAATGGTCCAACAAATGGCTACCAAAATTCAACTCGAGTAAATATAAGGTAATGAAACTAGGCGATGGAAACAGGCCAGACATAGGATACCAAATGGAAGATGAAGTATTTCATGAAATGGACAGAGAAAGATCTAGGAGTTGATAACACACCAAACTTATCTCCTGAACCCCACATAATAATATATGTGGCATATAAAAGGCCTGGTAACATCAGAATTGCATTCGGGACCCTGTGCAAGGAATCAATTCAGAACCTTGTATACCACATATGTAAAGACCAATCCTGGTGTATACAGCCCCAGCATGGAGCCCGTACCTTGTAAAGCACAAGACGAAGCTGAAAAACGTTCAGAGGTATGCCACTAGACTAGTCCTATAACTAAGAGGCATGGGTTATGAGGAAAGGCTGAAATGCACCACACGACAATGGAAGACAAGAGTAAGGGGAGACATGATCACTACCTACAAAATTCTGAGGAATTTGACAGGGTAGCCAAGGATAAACTAACACGGGTGGTATGCAAACAAGGGGACTCGGGTGGAAACTGAGTACCCAACTGAGTAGCTCGGTCGATTAAGGCAGTGTCTGGGATGCTCCCGGATGCGGGTTCGAATCCTCGTCATGGCCCTTGTGGATTTGTTCATGAGTACCCAAATGAGCCACAAGGAAGTTAAAAAGAACTTTTTCAGTGTCAGTAGTTAACAGGTGGAATGCATTAGGCAGTGATGTGGTGGAGGCTGACTCCATACACAGTTTTAAATGTAGATATGATAGAGCCCAGCAGGCTTAGAAATCTGTACACCAGTAAATTGACAGTTGAGAGGCAGGACCAAAGAGCAAGAGCTCAACACCCCCCTCCAAGCACAATTAGACGAGTACCTGTCAAAGAAATAAAGTCTAGTGCCGCACTGGTCTGAATTTTATTCCTTAGGTCAAGAAAAGGGATAATGAAGCATATCGCTCTGGGAGAAGGATGCCTCCCCCCAGCAGATCACTGTGGGGGAGGGTCCCCCACTGCAGATCACTGTGGGGGAGGGTCCCCCGCTGCAGATCACTGTGGGGGAGGGTCCCCCCGCTGCAGATCACTGTGGGGGAGGGTCCCCCTGCAGCACATCACTGTGGGGGAGGGTCCCCCGCTGCAGATCACTGTGGGGGAGGGTCCCCCGCTGCAGATCACTGTGGGGGAGGGTCCCCCCGCAGCACATCACTGTGGGGGAGGGTCCCCCTGCAGCACATCACTGTGGGGGAGGGTCCCCCACTGCAGATCACTGTGGGGGAGGGTCCCCCGCTGCAGATCACTGTGGGGGAGGGTCCCCCGCTGGGGGAGGGTCCCCCCGCTGCACATCACTGTGGGGGAGGGTCCCCCCGCTGCACATCACTGTGGGGGAGGGTCCCCCCGCTGCACATCACTGTGGGGGAGGGTCACCCCGCTGCACATCACTGTGGGGGAGGGTCCCCCCGCTGCACATTATTGGGAGGAGGAGCAGGGCGCCATGATCCAGGCTGCGCGCCTCCACGCTGCGCAGACCATTCGCTGCCCGACAACACTGGCATCACCACAGGATCAATACCTCTGCCATGCCCCACACACCTGCCTGGGGTATGGCATCGAGCCACGTGTGGTGCCACACACCTCGACCATCCCGGGTGTACACATCACCCATCACGCCACGCCGGCCAACACATATCAAGAATTAAATAACTGGCTCCCCACACACTAGTCTCGTACCAGCAAGTACACCTCCTTGCGCCTCAATTATCCATCACCCGCTCCAGTAGTACTCCAAGACCTATCTTACCTGTACTAAGGAGGGCGTTAAGAAGCGGCGTCAAGACGTAAACGAGAGGGCACACAAGACAGTAGCTGAGAGCGTCCCTGGCAGCCCCACTAGTGATGGCGGCGTCACACACCAGCCTCCACCACCTCCAAATGTTAGCTTATTCAATTTCTCTACCACATCAATTATTATAATGAAAATATGTATTTTTTTATATAAAAATACAATGTATTATTTTTATTAATAATAAATTACAATATATACTTTAATAGGGATATCGTTGAGAGAAATAAATGTGAGGGACGCCACCCGCCTGGCAGACTATACAACACTTCCTCCATGCTATGGGGCAGGTTTAAAACAAATGTTAAAACAAACTTACCTAACCATTAAAATACATTAAGATGTTGTAAATAATATGAAAGTATTGTGCGCAAAATCGTTAACAAATAAAAACTATAGTTTTTAGGCTCGGAATGTCTGAACAAATCAACCAATTACGAAAAAGATGTACACGAAATAGACTATAATTTCCTCTAAAGCATAAATATTCCCCGCCAGCCATAGACCAAGCAATATCAAACTTACAACAATTATGTTTCTTGTATATATCAGATCCACAGTTGACTATGCCGTGCCTCAGTGTGTTATAGTGCCTGAAAGAATGTTTCAACAGTTTGACAAAAATATTCTCATGAGAACATAAGAACCACCCAATTCCACTCATATACATGTCCAGCCCACGTTTGAAACAATCGAGGGACCCCACCTCCACCACGTTACAAAAAATCAACAACCCTGTGACCGAACCAGTATTTACCCAAGTCTCTCCTAAATCTAAACGTATCCAATTTATACCCATTGTTTCGTGTTCTGTCTTATGTTGATACCTTTAATTCCCTATTAATATTCCCTTTGTTATGTCCCTTCATCCACTTGTAAACCTCTATCATGTCACCTCTAACTCTTCGCCTTTCCAGCGAATGCAATTTAAGCTTTTATAATCTCTCTTTATATGACAGGTTTCTAATTTGGGGAATTAACTTTGTCATCCTACGCTGGACACGTTCAAGTGAATTTATATCCATTCTATAGTACGGCAACCAAAACTGAAGAAAAGATACTGAAAGAGAGATACTGTTTAAACTTTATAATTGTGTGGGATTGGAGTATTAGATGAACGTATAGCTAGTTTTTTTTATCTACACTGTGTAATCTTTCATACTGAACAGGGTAGCAACACATTGATGTGCTTGTTAATGAAACAAAATATTTACCAGAATTTACCTGAGGGTTACTACAGTATATCTCTAGCGACCTTGAAGAAACAGGAAGCCAGGGGCTTGTCAAAAATCCCCTATTTGTGCTGGTTTTTAGTCTCTGTGGCGCAGTGTTAAGACACTGGCCCCAAGTTTCGCAAGCGATTTGGCCTGGGTTCCTATCCTGGCCGGGAGGATTGACTAGGCCCCAGTCCTTAACTGTAAGCCTCTGTTCACCTAGCAGTATAGTCGTAATAGTTTGGTGCTTTCCTTGGTAATAACCTCACCTAGCAGTTAATGGGTACCTAGTTGATAAACGATTTGGCAGGTCATATTCCAGGGAAAATTAAGATTAAGTACCTGTCTGAAACGATATGCATGCTACTGGCTTTACGTGAATGTAAGGACTCTTGTATATATAAATATAATAAATTTGTTACGGCATCGGCGGGTTCGTGGATTTTTAACCCTGGGTGAAAAAAACAGAAAAAGCCGTTCCTGTTTTCTGTCCTATATTATGGCTTGTCGAGCTTGAAACCGTTGTTCCTTATTTCTGTTACATCCGTCCTTTTACATAAATTGTTTGAATCAATATCCTCCATTATACTCAGTATTTTAAAGGTTTCGACGAGATCAGCCCTGTTATGTCAGATTCGTAGTGTTAAGTGATGTGGCCCTCAACGGTTCCTGGCACTAGACTTCACTTACCGGGTAGTTCTGGAATGTTTTTTGTTGCCTGGTGTTGAACTTTCTGCAAAACGGCTCTCTTACTGAAGATGTCTTCATGCTTGGATGCAATAATTCAATTAAAGTGGGAGCGCACCAGAGATTTATTCAGTTCGATAATTACTTTCTTTTCCTTGAATTCAAGGGTTCGCTTAACTATTCCTAGGGTTTAGTTAGTTTTTTTTTTTTACTTAGCTCCCACTTGTGCAACTTTCAGTGAATGATAAATTCAAACTCCAAGATCATTTGTGTCACCAATCTGTCGCGAGGTAATATTAATTGGGTAGTGAAGTAGATTGCTATGACCCACATGCAATGTCTTGATTTTTTAATAATAAAATGCATTTGCCAGTCTTCCGGCCATTTGTGGAGTTCATGTAGAACGCCACAGTTTCACGTAAAGGCCTCAGTATCATTTTCATTTCTCACATGATCATAAATCTTGGTGATATCTGCCAATTTGATGATGTGGTTTGTAATATTCTTATCTACCTTACCATGCGATGATTTTAGTGCTGGTTTTTGTCCATCATCATTCAAATAATCTCATCCTCCAGCATATTGGTGAACAACAACTCGACATAAAGAAACTTTATCACTTCAATGCCTGTGACCCACCCACACAGAGGCACTGAATCTGGGCCCTCTCTTTGGGGCCAGACTGAACAGCTACACATTACAGATGCCTTCAAAGATAAATTTTCAGGATAATTAATAAATTTAAATTTACAACAATTTAAAAAAAGTATAAGAAAATATGAGCTGATTGAGGGGAAGTCACCTGCAGAAAAAATACCTGTTATACTTCAGTAATGGATAACACAAGTTCTGTATATATATTATAAAAAAACAAAATTGTATATAATTTTTTTATAAAATCTTTTATATAAATTTTTAAATAAAATCAGACTCCTTAATTTTACCTTACCAGCAATGAAAAGGATCAAATAAATGTTTATTATATTTCATCTCTGTTTATTGAACTCTGAGCAAATAAATTTTGTTTAAATAAATGTGATCCTCATTACATTTTGAGTTACAATAAAACATCAAATTATAAAGATAAAACACAAATGTAATGACTGGTAAGAAAAAAAAAAAGACTATTACAGATAGACGAGATGCATGCACTATGCCTTCATTGCAATCTCATGACTTAAATTTTTAACAAAAATACAGTAACTTTACTAACATTTTGATAGCATTAACAATTTAAAACAAGTACGACATGATGAATGTTCTCGTATAACATCAACTCCAGCAGAAGCACTGCCACACCATATATGGCACACACTCCCACTACTACAATTCTAGTGTATTGAAAATCATACAGTTTCCAAAATAACTAAGTTTATTAGACTAGCAACTGTATGCCATAATCAGATTTTGAGAATGGCAATCTATACTTTCTATACAAATTTCCTAATATTATAAGAGCAAAAATGGATGCAACCACAGTATTAATCTAAATATTTCCTACCTACAAGTCAATAATATAAATTCTTTCACTTGTACTTACCTTTAAGAGCTTGTATCAATATCTGAATTACGTACATTAAATATAAATCTACCAGCACTTGAAAATTGTCAAAATTGTTTTTTGTAACAAGCTGGACAAATGTACTATACAAGTATTTATATCCATATTATCCAGTAAAATGCTAATATTACAGGTACAGTAACAAAAAAGTTGTTTCATTTATGTATAGTAGCCCATACATGTTAAGTGCACAAGACTTTAAAATTACAAAAAAAAAAAATGAAATTGTAATTATTCTTAAATTATACCATATTTTAAGCTGGTCAATATCGTGTCTGACAAATACAAATATCTGTATGGAACTTACTTTATTATTTTTTTATTTAGATCAACTAAGTGAATTTCTACAAAACTCTGCATTCTCAACATTGACAATCTTACTTAGTAACACATTCATTCATTTATTAAAATTATTTCAGCTTACTTTTAAATACTTAATGATTTTATTTCCTGTTGAAATGTTCCTTTTTCTCTATTCGTCTAGCAAATCATCCTGTATCTCTCATTGTTCTGCCCTGAAACCTCATATTTCAAGTTTTTCTGACTTGAAACATCACACTTCAGCACTGAATATTTTTTAGCTTTTATCTTTCTTCTACAATGGCTTCTCGATATTTTATACTAAAAGTAAACTGAAGTCATGTACATAGTACAGTGTAGCGATAAAATAACATTGGTAAAAAGCAACCCAAACATTCTTCAACACACAAAACTCTTTACCTTAATTACAATAGTTTATTTTATACTACAATCTTTCCACAGATAATGACAGAGTATGGATATGGAAACAAAACCCTAACTCTGTGAAAGAGGAAGAATAAAATGGGAATTGTCTACTACGACATCCATTTAGAACGAATGTAAAACAAGTAGTTACAAAGCATTAAAGCAATGAAAATCTAGTAAACTGTTGCAAATTCAAGAATATTTTTCAAAGTACACTTTAAAAATGTCATCTTGTGTGCCTCTACAATAGTCATATAGCAACAGCAAACATTTCCATGGCTTATTACTTAGTGTTGGTTGTTAATGTGCAATTCTAGTTTATGTATGAAATTCATGTAGTCCTCTGAAAGTATTTATTTCCTTGTGCCACGTACTCTTCCCCTTCCTCTACCTCTTGCCTTTCGCCGAGGTGTGGAAAGTGTAGAGGGAGCTTCACATTCATCTTCACTTTTTTCCCCTTCATCACTTTTGGTTTCATCATCTACTTCAACAGTTGAAGCATTAACGCTAAAATTAAAGAAAACATATTTGTTGTAATTTGCCAAGTTATTTCAGATTATTGTGTTACCAAAAATTTAAAGATAAAATTTACTACCGTTACATATTATTAATTTCACAGGCTGTTGCTATGTTAATATATCAACTGATTTTATTTGACTTATGGTGTGCCATGATGACATACTTTGATACCAAATTCAATGCATAAAATCTATAAATATTTTGTTATTTTTTTTAAACCAAAATTGTATTTAAACTTTCTATGCATTGCATCCCCTTTAATTGATGGTTCCACACATAACTTATGCTTTACTTTTGCATTACACTGTATTAACTATTGTACAGTGTGGCTGTTTAATGTGACAACCCCGTGGTGCACATAAAATTAATAATTCCCTAATTTTTTTTATATTATAATGCATTTCCTGATATTGGCAAATAAAAAAGCACAAATAAATATTATGTGGTCAGGTTTTAGATGAGCTGCTGTAGGAAACAGCTCATAGTTTTCTGTTTTGCTAGGAACATCAATGACATTCTAATGATCCCTAGGCTTAGTTGAAAGAGATGGAAGAAGTTCCACCAGCTACTCACCCATTTCCAGCTTTATCTTTTCTACTACTAGAACTCTTATCATCCTTCACACCAGACGAATGCGAGCCATTTTTCTTTGTTTCATCAGAGTCGGACAATGCTTCCTCAATCACTGATGATCCAGAACCATCCTAATTGAGAAATGTAACAAGACATTTTAATGCAGTACACACACACAACAACACCATGCAAGATTCCAAGGGGATTTGATAAAGTAGACAAAAAGCAATGTTCAAAGCTAAAAAGAATGAGGGTGAATGCTGTACTGTAGACAGCCTGACAGCTGAGTAAACAGCGCTTCAGATTCATAGTCCTAAGGTTCTGGGTTCGATCCCCGGTGGAAGCTGAAACAAATGAGCAGAGTTTCTTACCTGTTACCTAGTAGTAAATAGGTACCTGGGAGTTAGACAGCTGCTACGGGCTGCTTCCTGGGGATGTGTAACAAAAAGGAGGCCTGGTCGAGGACCGGGCCGCGTGGGGACGCTAAACCCCGAAATCATCTCAAGATAGCCTCAAAATAGATGGAAACTAGAAACATGAATGTGTCATAAGGATGCCACAAAGAAGTTCTTCGGTAATGGAGTTCCAAATAAATTAAATGGGTTAGATGACGAAAAGGTTGAAGGTAATAGTTAATAGAAGCAAGTTCTAAATAATTGTTTGATGTAAAGAGAATGATATACAATTAAGGATAGAAATGCCTACATAAATACTGTAAGAGCTCGCTAATCTATATCCAATTAACCAAAACCTTTAGTTAATCCGGTCAAAATTACCGTTAAGTCAGCATTTTTGTCTGCCAAACTCCGACAGAAATCTGTGTTACTGAATGACATCAGAAGACCCATGCTCACCAGAAAGCCAAGGGCCCTCAACTAGTGAAGTTGTGGCAGTAGGTACTCAAAATTTTTACCTTATCAATTTCAAATTAGTACCAAGGGGATTTATTTTCACCTACATACCTTATAATTTCCCAAGCAAGCATGATGCAACATGTGTTGGTGTGGGCAGTTTGTTTTTCCTGATAATGCTTGGCACAAGATTACATTTTCCCTTACAGATTTTCCTGCCTCTTATGTAGTAGGCAGTCACAAGTAGTCACAGCCAGTCAGGCAGTCACAAGTAGTCGCAGCCGGCAGTCGCAAGCAGTCACAAGCAGTTGCAGCCAGTCAGGCAGTCACAAGTAGTCGCAGCCAGTCCTGCAGTCAGGCAGTCGCAAGCAGTCACAGGCAGTCAGGCAGTCATAAGCAGTTGCAGCCAGTCAGGCAGTCACAGCCAGTCAGGTAGTCACAGCCAGTCAGGCAGTCACAAGCAGTCACAGCCAGTCAGGCAGTCACAAGCAGTTGTGACCAGTCAAGGCATTTACATCTAATTCATGAAAATTCGGTACACTAACATAGAAGAGGCAATGGGTAATGGGAGCCGGTCGGCCGAGCGGACAGCACACTGGACTTGTGATACTGTGGGTTCCGGGTTCGATCCCGGGCGCCGGCGAGAAACAATGGGCAGAGTTTCTTTCACCCTATGCCCCTGTTACCTAGCAGTAAAATAGGTACCTGGGTGTTAGTCAGCTGTCACGGGCTGCTTCCTGAGGGGGAAGGCCTGGTCGAGGACCGGGCCGCGGGGACACTAAAGCCCCAAAATCATCTCAAGATAAAGACTCAAGATAAAGGCAAGATCAAAAATACTAGAGCTACAAGATGTAATAAAAAAGAAACACTTATCACATTGGCAGAAATATAACTAGACAATTCTAAATACAGTAATGTGATATTTTCAAGGGCTATTCAGTCGAGAGATGATAGAAAATGTAAAGACGACACAGGTATCGCAGTGCTGGCAAGAAAACTTATCAACATAAGAGAATTAATGCTTGATAGCAAACTAGATGTTGAAAATTTTGCTCTGCAAATCCACAACCAGATTGAAAAGTTAATAATCATAGCTGGCAGCAGCCCACCAATAAGTAACACGGACCAAGGAAAAACTATATGCCAAACCCCCAAGGAACTTATAACATATGAAAAAAAATAGATTTATTAATGGAAGACCGTTTGTACTGAGCGACTTTTAATATACGTAATCATGACTATTTTTTTTATAGATGGTACAAAGTATATACGCAACTTACATTTTTATTTAAAATGTCGGTGTTGTTTTGTCCATTCCTGTCATCAGTTTTGGATGAAGTTTTGGCAGCATCAGCAGCATCTGCCTCTTGTTCATCATCAGTGTCATCTTGTTCCATCATATCAAGGTCCTGATTTTACCAAGATGAAAGATTTTGCAAATGAAATAGTAATAAAGGACAGAATTAAAATAATTCATAATACACTATAAAGAAGCTAAGAAAATTGAATCAGGCAAACACGAGGGAAGCCTGATTGCTGGTGATGGGACGGAGGGAAGGAATGGTGCCCAACCACTTGCACAGTCGGGGATTGAACGCCGACCTGCATGAAGCTAGACTGTCGCTCTACCGTCCAGCCCAAGTGGTTGAACTTGCTGGCCAGCCAGCAATAGTAGAACTATCGAAATTGTCCACAAGCAATCTAAGGTCATGGTGATTATATAACTTTTTATGCTATCTACTAGCTTTGTAATATTTAAATTACAAACTCTCCTCATGGCTCTTTTTTTAGGGGGGGATGGGGGGGCATTAAATTGAATAGTTGACACTGGAATAGATCATGTATGAATCTCTAGGACCTGTGGTAATGGCTGCAACTGATTTTTAGGGTACAAGCATACGGATCATGTAGGTGATCCTACATGAGGGTATAAGCATATGGAGCCCGTGATGTTGGTTGTAGTGACCATTGATACTTTTGCGCTAAACAACAAACTTACCAATCTATCTAATATGTCCCCATAGTATTCATCACCATTCTTCTGTGTCTTTTTAGCCGGACTTGAGCTTGTGATCACGTTGGCTTTGTCAGTTTCTTCATCCACCATTTCCACATCATTTGCATCACCATCAGCTTCACCATCAGCATCATCACCACCATCAGCCTCTCCACTCTGTTTCTCTTTTTCCTGCGACAGAGTATCTTTCTCGTCATGCTCCTTTTCTTCTGGACTACTGTCTGTCTGCTCATTTACATCCACATTCTCCTCTTCCTTCATCTCTTCAAGCTTCCTTTTCTCCTGTAATGACAACAAAAATTATTCATAATATTAAACAGCAGCACCTTTAACCCAATTACCATTTAGCTGAAGAAATTTAGCCATTGGGGAGATAGTAGAGGGCAAGAAACCAAGAAAGACAAGAGAAAGAGAATTTGTAGCGAGAATAGTCGAAAGGGTAACCAGTCCAATTAAAGATGGAAAAGAGGAGACAACTGAAGATTAATTAAACAATAAGGAATACAACAATAAATCATTGTATATAAATGAACTACTTTTACTCTCTGAAAATGAACTGATGATATTTCTCCTATCATCAATTAATATTTACTTTTCTGGCTCCCCGGAGCTTACTGGGCTGATATGTATGTATTAGACTGTGGCATCAGTTAACGGAGTTCTTGCCTACCAGGGACGAGTCAGAACCTGGCACCCTCAGTGAGGCAAGAGGAGCAAAGGCCTCCTCTTACTGGGTGGGCCTTGGTGACTTCCAAGGCGCTTCCTGTAGCTAGCCACATACCAAGTCACAACCCCCACACATAAATCACATCAGCCATAGGAGTCTTTAATAGCCAATTGGAAACCATTCAGAACCTGGCCCTCCATCCCCCTCTCAGAAGGTAAGGGAGCAGGTAATTCTTAAGTTCACCTTCACCAAGGAAACCCACAGAAAAGAAGCAAAGCAAAATTGTCAAATGACCCCACAACTGATCCACCCAGTAATTACTGGTAGGTCAACCCCCCCCTCCTAGTTACAGCTGGCCACTTCCAGGTGGTGGCACTACCTGGAGCTTCTGGCTCCCCATGTCAACAATCCTCAGTCGAGTCTAGGAAAAAGAAAGTGACGCACATAAGGAGATGCGAGACAAGGGAGCACCTAAGACTTGCTGAGAAAGAGGCATTTTATTTAATACAGTACTGTCTTTCTGGAGAGGCCAAACAGTGGCTCCCTGCAGCTAGCTAACAACAGACAAGAGTAAATCATACCCCCAAAAAATGAGAAACCAGAATGGAAAATCCCACCCAAAGCAGTACAAGCCCAACTGGGACCATGGACACTGAACAAGTAAACAGCCACCAAGGACCCTGGTAGACCTTCAAAATCCCCGTACCTGGATATCAGTCAAAGACATGTTTGAAAATACAGTGGCCAGAGCAGCAAATTTTCTATCATCATAAGTCTGAAAATAGACTGCAGTGGCTGCTGGTGCTGCCAGCTAGCAGTAGCCAGCTATAACTAGTGAGGTAAGGCCTAACTACTGAGTGGATCATTTGTTAAATAATTCTGCTACATTTCTTGTTTGCTGTGAACCTTGCAGTTATCTGTTTTTCTTCACTTCCATTCCTTGAGCTTCTACACACGAGGGGTGATCTTAAAAAATACTTTATACTCCCTGCACCTCTGTGAGGGGGAGGGGGGGTGGCCAGGTTCTGGCCCTAGTCTCCAGTAGGCTGCTGAGACTTAGGGATGATGTCTGATGTGTGCCTAGTTACAGGAAGCCACTCTTTAATGTTGTAGTACAGTTTTACATTAAATATATGAACTTACTTCTAAGCTTTTAAGATGAGCAGCATAAGTACCATAATGCTCACGTGAACAAAAATGGGCTAGTGCCTCTTTAGCAGACTGTACTGTTTTGTTGGGACATATCTTGCAATAGTAATTAGACTTCTTCATTATGAAGTTCAAACCTGAAAAATAAGGGCAAAATTTTAGTAGTTAAAAACTCGGGCAAATTCAATGTATTTGAGAAATATGACATCACAGGGCAACTCAAATGAAAAGATTTACCAAGCAACCTTGTTGCAGCTGGCTGGCATTTCAATGTAACTCGAGATGCCTTCAGGAAACATTTGGAGGATACATATTTTCACAAGACAAGACCTTCACATTGTTATGCCCGTTTCTCTAAATATTTCATTAATCTACTTAATTTGTTAGAAAATAAGATCAGAGCCATATTAAGGGGATTACCATTCATACCCTAAAATTTCACAAGCTCTATTGGTGAATATCACAAGAGCAAAATTTTAATTACCAGTATAACTTATCATATGATGGAAAACTACCAGGAGAACCTGTATGTAAAAAAATTTCACCACATCTAACTTGGATCCCATTCACCGGCCTCAAACCCAAATTTTCAAAAGGTAGCTGGGACCCATACCTCGGTTAACAAAAAAACCAGCGTTGAATGTAATGAAACGCCATTTTCTGGGCGAGACCCGGAGGCTTCCCAGAGCTATCCAGGCTGATATGCTAATGTCAGACTTTGGCATCAGTCATGTGTATGGAGTTCTATGGGCCTACCAGGGACCTCGAGCCAGAACCTGGCCCCCCCCCCCTCAGAGAGGCAAGGTGAGCAACCCCCGTGTGGTTGGAAGCATTCTATATCTGCCATTGACCGGGTCAGGCACCCAGGAAAGGTAAGCATCCCTAAACAAACCCCTATTCTGGTTAAAATTGCTACCAAAAGCCGAACTAGTGGATAGAATTCCCCAAACAAAAACGAGCAAACCAGTATGACGTCACACGTCATACTGGTCATACCCAACCCGCTCGGCGGGAAGGTGTCAACTAGGACTACTTTACAAGAAATGTAGCCAAACAGACTGTGACCCGATTGATTTGGCCAGGAGAAGAAACAGCCCAGCTTATGGGAAAAGGAGCCAAAAGGTAGTAAGTAGCAACATACATAGCCGGCTTATTCAATGAAGACAATGAACCCAATCTGCAACCCAATTGGGCTACAAGTAGCTCAACCAGGCATCCCAGACCAGGAGCATGCAAAGAAAATGAGCAGTGCTGAGACAGAGCACGGAGAGAAAATACAATAACAATAGAACGAGACAGGACTAAAAACCCAGAATAAGCACGGAAGAGGACCATCCAGCCCTAGAAAGGACCAGAGGGAAGCCAGACCAAAAGAGGACAGACGTTCCAATAATACGAGAAGTAGCAAAAAACCTTCTCGAACCTTCGAGAACACACACAAGCAAGCACAAGTCACGATGGCACAAAGGCACAGTCGCACCCGAGACCAAAAGTCATGCAGAACCCCAAGAAGAGGGGAACATGACAGAGAAGTCCCATCCCAAGAAAAAATGAGGGAATAACCCAGAAGAGCACCCACCAACAGGACAGAACCAACCGACTCAATGGGCAAGGAACCGAGCCCGGGAGTGGGCCAACACCCTACAACTCAGATGGAGAGGGGGAAGGAAAAACCCCACTTCCCGTAACCGCAAGCCCTGCCTAGAGGGTAGAAAACCCCCCGCGGGGTCCAACGGGGGCCTGAGGCCCCCCCCCACCAAGGCAGCCCTCCCCCATGAAACAGGAACCCACTCGGCAGGCCCCGGGGCCGAGCCGTCCCCCCAAAGCCCCGGCCTCAAGAAAAAACCAGGGCAGCCGAGAAAATACTAAGGAAGGGAGCCACTGGCAGACTCATACAACACGGCTGGAGGAACAGGCTCGAATGCCCCCGTCACTACCCCGGAAGGGGAATTCACCGAGATCGCCCGAGTCTCCAAACCAATGAATCCCCGCCCCGATCCTGAACCCACAGACGGTAAGGATCTGGAAGCAGGTAGGAAAGGGGGGACCAGACTAGACCACAACAGGGGAAAGACAAGGGGGCGTGGAAGGAACCGAAACAACCAACACCCCCAAGACCCAACATCAACCAAAACAGGGTAGCCTCGGGCCTTCCAGGGAGCAAACAACCGAGAATGTTGCCACCGTCGAAGCTCAACGTGCAACGCGTGTGCTGCCTGAACCCGTATAGTCAGCATAAGACTGGGTAACCGAGTCACAAACAAGCAACAAAACTCGCAGGACTCCGGGCCGAAGGTGTCACCGACCCCACAGGCAGCAGACGGAGGCAAAGACAGAGAGTCACCCGGAGATAAGGGGACAGAGCAACCCTCAAACTCACTGGAAGCAAGGGGGGACTCGGGGGCCACATCCATCGGACCTGCGTGCCCTAAGGGATTTGCCAGGGTCCTGAGTGTTTGCTATAATAGGACTCGTGCTCAGGTAATCCCAGGCAGGGTACTGCTAACCGGCACCCAAGTCTACCAAATAACCTTCTAAGAACTGAACCCCCGAGGACCCATACACTCACTGGGACCTAGCAGGGGAAACCACCGGAAGAAGGAAAAATTCTCAGAACACATGGGACATGGGGCAAGAACAAAGGCAGACCCCACCCCCCCCCCACCAGGCAGACAAACACAAAGAAAAAGAGAACCCCGCAAGAAGACAGCGTACCCAAGCGGAACAGAGCTGGCCACAATGATTGGTGAAAACAAGGTGCGCAGTACCCTGCACCCCACTAGTGCAAACTGCCCCTTACCCTGAGGCGAACAAGGAAGACAGAACACCCGAGCACACAAAGGGCGGCTGAAAACCAAGCAGCAAACGGCCTAGTGGGGGCAAAACCCAAGGAACTTGTGGAAGGTGGCCCTTAGTCCCAAGGGCAGTACTTACACGGCACTTAGGGAAGGAAACCCTAGGCACATGCAGCCCGAGTACTGGAGAATCACTCCCGGCTCACGCACCACCTAGAAGACAGTCACCACACTCTAAGTACAGTGCTGAAACAACCACCGGAGCTGGAGCACACGACCTCAGCCTCTAGCATCAGCCGAAGAACTGAGGGTGGATAGCCGGCGTGGAGTGTCTGGGGTTCCCCCTTCCCCCTCTCAGGGAGGGGGAGCTGCACAGACAGCGGCACGGTGAAGTGTGACGTCATACTGGTTTGCTCGTTTTTGTTTGGGGAGTTCTATCCACTAGTTCGGCTTTTGGTAGCAATTTTAGCCAGAATTGGGGTTTGTTTTGGGACACTTACTTTTCTGGGTGCCGGTTGATGGCAGACATAGAATGCTTCCAACCACACGGGAGTTTCTATAAGCCATATCTTCCCTTGCCTTTCTGAGGGGGCCAGGTTCTGGCTCATGGTCTCCGGTAGGCCCATAGAACTCCATACACATGACTGATGCCAAAATCTGATTTGGTGCAATAGATCCAAACCCTCAATTATTTAGTTCAAAATAGCCAACCATTCTAGTCTAAACGCACTGTATGCGAGATTTAAAAATGACGAGAGATACCTAATAACCACATTATGTCTGAACCAAGTTATAATAATATAAGGTGTTGGCTATTTTCAGTTTGTGTTAGAGCTCAGAAATGCTGACTAAGTATGTTAGGTGTTTTTATTCCAATCATCATACTGGTGATGTATAAAACAATACTGTCCAACTACTTACCTATGGGCACAGCAGGATCATAAAATGGTATACGGTTTTTGTTCCACACATTTTTTATGCTGTGGGTAATCTTCAGTTTAGCGACAGCATCATGCACTTTTTTCATTGATTCTGTAAAGAAATAAAATATGAGAAAATATCACGCAAGTGAAATTTTCATTACCAGTATATAATGTAGGTTTTACTAGGAAGATGATTCCTTATCAACATTTTCTCAATCAATTTATTATAAATACTGGTAAATCTAAAATTTACAGTGAAGAAATAAATACTGTATATTTGAAAAAGGTATTTCTTATGGTCTTTATAAGCCATATAGTAACTTCAGACACATGGGGGTTTCTTATATCTACCTTTTAATCCAATTATATAGTTAAAGAAATATGCAGTATAGATTAACTTGTAATACCTAGTCCCAGACCACTTTTTTCTGCTCACCTTGTCTATGACTACATTCCAGCATTCTCTTTGCAAGCTATGTTTTAGAGAACATGACCATGCAGACACTGTAAGGTAAGCTTCTAACATGGATGAAAAATTTCCTAACTGACAGAAAAATGAGGGCCGTAATCAGAGGCAAGGTATCGGACTGGAGGAATGTCATGAGTGGAGTTCACAGGGTTCAGTTCTTGCACTGATAATGTTCATTGTCTACATAAATGATCTACCAGTGGGAATACAGAATTATATGGACATGTTGGCTAATGATGCTAAGATCATTAGCATCATTAAGGGAAGATAAGAAACCTAGATGATTGTCATGCACTTCAAGAAGACCTGGACAAAATAAGTAGATGGAGGAATACTTGGCAAATGGAATTTAATGTGAATAAATGCCATGTTATGGAATGTGGAATTGGAGAACATTGACCCCACACAACCTATAAATTATGTGAGAAATATTTAAAGAATTCTGACAAAGAAAGGGATCTAGGGGTGGTTCTAGATAGAAAACTGTCACCTGAGGACCACAATAAGAACATTGTGCAAGAAGCCTATGCTACACTTTCTAACTTCAGAATTGTTTTTAAATACATGGATGGAGAAATACTAAAGAAATCGTTAACGACTTTTGTTAGACCAAAGCTGGAATATGCAGCGGTTGTATGGTGCCCATATCTTGAGAAGCACATCAACAAACTGGAAAAGGTGCAACGACATGCCACTAAGTGGCTCCCAGAACTGAAGGACAAGAGCTACAAGGAGAGGTTAGATGAATTAAATATGCTAAAACTAGAAGATAGAAGAAAAAAAGGCGATATGATCACTACGTTCAAAATATTAACAGGAATCGATAAAATTGATAGGGAAGAATTCCTGAGACCCGGAACTTCAAGAACAAGAGGTCATAGATTTAAACTAACGAAACAAAGCTGCTGGAGAAATATAAGAAAATTCACTTTTGTAAACAGAGTGGTAGACGGCTGGAACAAGTTAGGTGAGAAGGTGGTGGAGGCCAAAATCGTCGGTAATTTCAAAGCGTTGTGTGACAAAAGTGTGCTGGTTAGACGGGACACCACGAGCGTAGCTCTCATCCTGTAACTACACTTAGGTAATTACTGTGAAACATGTACTGTAACTGTGATTACAGGAATACAGCTTTGTTTTTGGAATCCCATATGTACACATGCACACATTTGCATCTTTTTAAATCACAGAGTACTTCCTATACAAAAGTCGAAGAATTTATCATTGAGTATAAATAAAAATCCCATTCTGAGCAGCATACCTATTTGCTCCATAAAGTAAGATTTTCCCAACTTCTGGTTAGGATCTACCAAAGAAAAGGCAGGATGAAAGTCAACATTAAACTTTGCAAACGGGCGATGCCGAGCAATACTAATGAAAAGCTAAGAGACTGAGCATATACTTGACCTCATTCCCTGAGCACCAGTATGATTTGGCACTGACAGTTTACTTAGCTTCCTCATTGTTAGTTGACTTATCCTGATAATGGAATAGGTCAACCAACCAATTGTCAGTAGAATCTTGACTTTGTCAGCAACCACATGGAATAGCTCAGAATTAGCAACAAAACATTGTATTACAATAGTTTACCTCCACATTTACAAACTGTATAATATAATACCATGTTCTGGAATTTTGTCCTCTTCTGTCTTCTTAGCCTTCGAGGCTTTCTCCAACCTATCTGCATCAATCTTCATTTGTTTCTGTCAATAAATTAACAATAATAACTACTGTACATAATATACATTTTTGTTTCATTAACAATACTTTAACATTTAAGAAAATAATTGATTGAAGAACCTTTCATTATAAAACTAGAAGATCAATAATGCATTCAAAAGAATTAAGAATTTCATTATACTGTATTCAAACCTGTATACATCTATACTATACTATTAGAAAAGAAAGAGTAAGAATACAGTATATACGACCCATCCACCTCTTTAGATAGTACCTATTGTGCTGAGCATTGTGTAAGAACATACGACAAGTCAGAACTTGTACAGTCTTAGCTTTTAGGGAGTACAGTAGTCTACTGACTAGTAAGGAATTCTTTTAAAATCAATGAAGCTAAAACACAAACTTAAATATTCCTAGGCTTAATATAGCACACACATGTACAGTACTATATTAGGCCTAGGGAGGTTAGGATAGGTTAGTTTAGTTTATCAAAGCAACAAGTATAAAAAAAAAATCATAATTGACATGAATAGAGAAGTACTGTACTAATAATAAATGAATGTTTATCCCCAACATTCATGCTTTACAAGAATATAAACATTCACCAACATTAGAAGAAGAAAAAAAGGGTCTAATGCCATACCTTTAGATGCAAATGAGAGAGGCGATGCTTTTCCAAATCAGCTCTGTTGTCAAACCAGATACGGCACGGTGAGCATTTTGTGTAATGATTGATCAACTGAAATACAAAAAAAAAAGACATAGCTAAGTGCCACATACAGGATTATTATATACAAGTTTATACAAATACATATAAGTACAATATGGCCAACTCATGAATATCCAGCACCTGTATGGACACTACACAAAATAAAACAAAAAATTATAATATTCCAAGGAATGCCACAAGGTTAATCATAAAAAATAGGAGACCTGCGCAATGAGGACAGGTTCTTAGACAACCTACAAACACTGAAGGAAACCAAGACACAAAGTGAATAAGGAAACAGTATTCCCTATGAGATGTAGGTCTAAAGGACACATGGAAACAGTACATGCAAATGAACCAAATACATGTAAGGAAGAAGAACTTTAGTGAAGTGGTAATGAACACATGGAAGCCAAGGTAAATTTACTGTACATTCCACAGTTTTAAAAGACAGAAGATGGGGCCAAGAGTCCTAGGTAATCAAGAATGGGTGGCACCAGATACTCAAATGTGAAGACAATTCTCCCGACCAACAAGTCCATATGGATAAGTGGTTAAGGGAATTAAATAGAATATCTCCACTTGTGAGAAGGATCAAAATAAATATGAGCCATACATACAAAATATTAAGAGGAAAAGAAAAAATTATAAAGACAACCTTTTGATGGGATGAGACAAGAGAACATTGGTATAATCTGTAGATGCATATGAGCTAGATACAAGTAAGAAAACAGTGATAAACAGTGAGGGGGTAGCAAATCACTTCAAGATGAAATATTTGAAACTATTTCCACTCACTATTTCAAGCATAAAGATGAAATAAAATGCCAAAATATTTAGATACACCAGGAACTGTACAAATAACTCTGAAGCCAGGTCTAATAAGTTTATGTTAAACACTGTGCATTTAAAATTTAAACATACCTGTACTGCAATTGGCAATAAATTCTAGCTATTAAGCTTTCCTCAGTATATACCGTATTTGCTGACATACACGACACACTTTTATTTTTAAATATATAAAAAAGTGCCCTGCATCTAATGCAGCTGTATTACAGCTGGGAGACTGAGGGGCATAGGCTAGGCAGCTGGACGAGAATACTGAGTAAGTTTGCTAGGCACAAAAATCGTTGCTAATAAAAAAATATTGAAAGCAAGCAGCGTCATATCACAGTCTGTTATCACAAACTTATAATACGTCGGCAGTTATGAAGAAAGCTCACATCATCTTACCCAGCATACTTAACCCACACCCGACATGTCATACATTATTTAACGACTGTGTTTCCTTTAAGACACATTTAATCATTATCTAAATGAAAAATGATCCTAGAAATTTTAAGGGAATGTTCAACCTTCATCTACCTGTCAGCCATTTACAATACGTGAATGACAACAAAACATGAGCACTGTGATGGCATGCCAAAACCGGCTGTGCCGCCCTGGTGGCCTGATGCGGCAACAAAACATCACATCCAGTAATACAAGTTTCACATCCTGTATAGAAAATCTCTTGCCCAGAATATAACAACTACACCACAGCTGATCTTAGAGGAGGTAAGAGTTGGGGTACAAAATCCACTTTAAAATATTTTTCATTGTATGAGGAAACATACAAAAAAAAAAAATTCCACAAAAGTATTCTTGTAAAATAAGGGGTGCATCTTTTATGCCAGCAAATTCGTTACTTTACAATAACTTTGACATATAAATACTTATATCATTGTTTAGGTAAAATATAAATAATATTTACAAAAATAAGGTAAACAGCACCAAGAAAAATTTAATTTAACACGAAACAAACAATTCTTATAAATTAATAATTTTAAACACCCTATATCTTCGTTTAAACATTTTAAACAACACTGATTTACACGACTAACATGACAATATCTTATACACTTCTAAGATTTAACACATTAAATCCTTTAGGAACTTACATAATGCTCTCTAGTTTTGTTGTGATCGTAAATGCTTCCCATGAAGGAGCAATCACATTTTGGACATGTTGAGATGCGGCCCTTCATGCCCATCCTCCGCATTTTCAGAATATTTCTTTGTGAAGACACCTGAAAAGGAGAAGAAATCTGTAACTTAAACTCATATACTGAATATTTTATTACGTTGTATAAGCATTTTCTCTATCACAAACTGCAAGACACCATAAAGAAACTGAAAATTTGTCAGTGTGTTCATGTCAACATATCTGAAATCAAATGATGTTTTCAAAAACAAAAGAATTCAAGCAAATAATATATGTATGTATGTATGTATGTATGTATTTACTATTTGTATCTGCAGAATTGAGCTATTAGCTTTTGGACCCCACCTTTCTAACCAATTTATTCTCTAGCTCTACTACATATTTCTCTCTAACACACACACACACACACACTGTATTCACCTGTTCACCTGGTGGGTACGTGGCCCTGCGGGCCGCTCCAAGCAACAGCCTGGTGGACCAAACTCTCACAAGTTGAGCCTGGCCTCGGGCCGGGCTTGGGGAGTAGAAGAACTCCCAGAACCCCATCAACCAGGTATCAACCAACCAGGTTGTGTTTGCGGGGGTTGAGCTTTGCTCTTTCGGCCCACCTCTCAACTGTCAATCAACTGTATACTAACTACCTTTTCCCCCTCCCCCCACACCACACACACACCCCAGGAAGCAGCCTGTGACAGCTGACTAACTCCCAGGTACCTATTTACTGCTAGGTAACAGGGGCATTCATGGTGGAAAGACACTTTGCCCATTTGTTTCTGCCTGGTGCGGGAATCGAACCCGCGCCACAGAATTACGAGTCCTGCGCGCTATCCACCAGGCCCCTGTCCACACACACACACACTGTGTGTGTGTGTGTAATTACCTAAATGTAGTTACAGGATGAGACCTACGTTCGTGGTGTCCTGTCTACCCAGCACTCTCATATAACGCTTAGAAGCTACTGACGGTTTTGGCCTCCACACCACCTTCTCTCCTAACTTGTTCCAACCGTCTACCACTCTGTTTGCGAAAGTGAATTTTCTAATATTTCTTCGGCATCTTTGTTTAGTTAGCTTAAATCTATGACCTCTTGTTCTTGAAGTTCCAGGTCTCAGGAAATCTTCCCTATCAATTTTATCAATTCCTGTTACTGTTTTGTACGTAGTGATCACATCTCCTTATTCTTCTATTTTCTAGTTTTGGCATATTTAATGCCTCTAACCTCTCCTTGTAGCTCTTGCCCTTTAGTTCTGGGAGGCACTTAGTAGCATGTCTTTGTATCTTTTCCAGTTTGTTGATGTGCTTCTTAAGATATGGGCACCACAACCGCTGCATATTCCAGCTTTAGCCTAACAAAAGTCGTGAACAATTTCTTTAGTATTTCGCCATCCATGTATTTAAAAGCAATTCTGATGTTAGAAAGGGTGGCATAGGCTCCTCGTACAACATTCTTTATGTGGTCCTCAGGTGATAGTTTTGTATCTAGAACCACCCCAGATATCTTTCTTTATCAAAAGTCTCTAAAGATTTTCCACATAATTTATAGGTTGTGTGGGGCCTATGTTCTCCTATTCCACATTCCATAACATGGCATTTATTTACATTAAATTCCATTTGCCCAGTGGTGCTCCATAGGCTTATTTTGTCCAGGTCTTCTTGAAGAGCATTACAATCATCTAAGTTACTTATCCTTCCTATTATCTTAGCATCTTATCTATCAGTAACTATGGGAGCGTACGATCTAGTTCTTTATGCAACTTTAAATGCCTACATACAGAACAGTACATCAAAATCTACAGTTTTATCAAAATCACAAGACATCTCATTTTTTAATGAACTCCAAATGTGAAGGGCTTGAAATCAAATTCTAATACAGATTAACTGTGGGAAATGTAAGTAATTTTTGTATGTGATATACTGTACATTCTTTACAAAATGATCAATCAATTATATTAGTAATCACCTTGGCTTGTGCCCTTAAGAGATTGAGAACAGCAACACCTTTGGCATGAAAAGAACGTTCCATCTGCTCATGGTTCCTGCTTTCTAAATGATTCTTGAAACCCTGGAAAAAAAAATTGTAACCCACTCAGTGTGTGTGTCATACAACATGATTAAGTTGCCTATGAGACAGCATAGGCATATATAATAAGACATTATATACCAAACACATGTGACCCATATAATTTAATGAACTAGAAGAAATAAAGCCTTTCTATGTATGGTATTTTATATATAAATTTGGACTGAATTGAAGGTAATGATAGCCTGATAACAGGACACATTCATGTCACCAAACCTGGACAGAATGGAACGAACACACATTTGGGCATAAATATCTAGAGCTGCTAGGTCTAATATTGTCTGCAATGTAAGTGGCTTGAATTTCAGCAAAATGAACTGGACAACAGGAGGAAATACTGATAAGTTTGTTGGAAATACAGTCGTTTAAGATTTACAACTGCTTTTTCGAACAGTATATTTGAGCCAACCAGGGGGACAACAGAACATTACAACTATTGCTAACAGTAAAGACATTAATAACATTAAAAGTGTGATTGAATTAGGTAAACATTACCAGTCTCAGATAATTGTAAATTTGATTAACATGAGGTTATAAAGTTATATGGGCCATCCAGCTGGAGAGTAACAGATAATGACTTAGATACATACAGTTTTACTGAATACAAGCATAATGGATAATTTTTTAATAACGTAAGTGTCAACATCTAGAAAATGTTGAACTAAGAATTTAAGCAGCTTTTTGAGGATTGAGATATCATCACTACTTACCTGGAGAGAATTAAACTGGTAAAAATTGCACATATGACACTGCAGAGCCTCTTTGGGTATCAAACCATCCTGTTGGGAAAATTAATATATATGTAAGTAGATCAAAAAGTATATTCTTTGAAAGATTGCTTGGTTGATTATGTGAGACACCTTGATCACTCTGGGCCCAACAACTTGGACTGGACAGTAAAGCCTGACCTGACTTCTTGGTGAAGTCGGTTAAACACCAACCGACAGGTTGGTGTTTAATCACCAACTGTCCAAATAGTTGGGTACAATTTATTTTCCTACATCCTATCCTAACTCCAATTCTTTGTATCCCTTCCAAGGGCTACATAGTCACTTAGTTGGCTTAGTGCTTGTTCCTGATAATTACCTTCATTTGTTCACTCTGGAAACTCTATATCTTAGGGTCTAAATAAATCTTCCCCAGATCTTTCCAGTGCAATGCAATGCAGTAGGGGTGAAAGGGAGTAGGTGTGGTCGGACGGAGTGGATTTGTTTAAAGGGTACCGATATTTTTGAAGGGTTGTATTGTACAAGGAAATGAATAATGTGGGTGGGGGTGGAAGGATGTGGCTGATATAAGTGCAGTGGGAGGATGTGGATAATGTGGGTTAAGTGACCTGGGAGGATGTAGGTGGGTGTGGATTAAAGTACTTTCATCCTGGAAAATGGAACACTGCAAAACATTCTATACAAATTATTTACTGGATACAAGCATTTACACAAGTTTATTAAATATCTAAGCATTCATCACATTGTTAACCACTCATGGGATAAGGAATCATTAGTGTGCATATAAAAATATTTAGATTGTTTTAGCCATTTAACATACACTGTACATGGTCAAAAGCTTACCGATCTGAATTTTGGTGGTGGGTCTTTCCTTGACTTGCTTTCCTGGCTGTCACTCGTGTCTTTAGTTTCAGCAGAACTATCAATGCTTTGTGCCTCTTTCTTTATTCCATCATCATCATCATCATCATCATCATCTGTGTCTTCAAGTACCTTGCCACTGAGAATATAGCTTCAAGGTAATATTTTACTCATTTAGCCAAATGGGAAATTATAATTTATGATTAAATACGTTCAGCCTTATATACAACTTGAAGTAAAGGTATTACCATAAAAGCAAAGATCAGTATAAAAAGAGTGTTATAGAAATTAATAATGTAGACAAGACAAATTAGGAAACTTTGATATAGTACAGAAGATATTCAAGATGAGACTGTGATGAGCTATGAGAGCAACTCCCTATAAAGACACAGGAATAATACTACACTGATATACTACAGCCACAAAAAGGATGACAAATAGTATGGCAGGGAATGCATTAAATATCCAGTTCAAGTGTTGTAAACGGAAAACATGAGTTAAAATAACAGGCACCGAGAGTAGTGAATTACGTACAATGTTAAGGTTTTTGTGGCACATCTAAACACATTAAGAATAGGACGACAGACAAAGAGAAAAAAAGTGGAATTGAAGTTTTAATAGATGATAGACGATTCTCTCTCTTTTGTATTACCCATGAACAAATTTATATTTTATTACACTGTATATTAGTTACCTATTCAATTAATTAATTAATCACTTTCATCAGTATAATTTTCCATGCAAATGAGAAATCGATAAGGATTTAAGTGATCCTTAATTGGAAAAAATTAAGAACTGTATAATGCATTTTCAAGTTGAGAAAATGTCATTAAAACATTTATATTAAAAAAGAAATGTAGCAACAGAAAAGTATAACGGGGCCACTGGAGAGCTTTTTGCAGATGTCAGAATAATTAAATATTTAAAACACAGCAGGCTTTGCAAGAGCAACACCAGGAACATCCAAAGGTCAAGCAAGGAGAGGATATTTTTACTTCGTGAATACAAGCATGAACAACTGCCCAAATTTACAGAAACTTCACAAACATAAAAAAAAGCTGCAAATCCACCCAGGCATTGCTAAATTTTGTTCCCAAGATCTGAAACAAAAACATAAAAAACTATATATATACACCTGTGCTGGTATTACCTGGGACCATGTACAAAAAAAAACTTGTCATAAGTACAGTACACCAATTTGTGTCACAAAATTAGGAAACCTGTTCCAATTTGGCATGCTGGAAATTTGAAATTATAGCTTTAATGTGTTCTGTAAATAAGGAAATTTTGAAAAGCAAGCATAATCACAGAGAAACCCTCAAATGCCATACAAAATACTTTTAAAGCAAATTTATGCCTTATAAGATATAACTTTCATGGTCTGGTGCCAAACTGGAACACCATGAGTTCTAACAAAAGAAACCAGGACTAGTGCCAATTCTAAAAAATAAATAAAAAAAGTACCAAAACACAACCACACACATTCCAATCCTTCTCTGTTAAAGGAATGCAGGAAATTTCTGATTATTACAGTTTGGTCTGAGTTAACTATGCCTAAGTGATAGATATGAAGTATAAAAGCATAATTGAAACAATCAGCAGACAATCTTTAGAAATCTCTGCTATTTTCCCATATGGTAAAATATTTAACCATGGAAACCAACCCATGCTATGCCAGTTTCATAATTGGAAGTAATCACATACTAACTCAAAAACTTATCACCCTTATGTTTTAATTCTGCTTTTGGGAATTCCTCTCCAACAGCAAAGTGAATTGATTTGAGCAGCTTGAAAAGAAACTGCTAGGTTAAATTAATACAGCTTTACTGTAAGAAATGGATAGGCGTACAAGTATCAACTGCTATACAACAGTGTATCAAAACAAGTTCACAGCTCATCATTATATAATTCCACCATTTACAGAGGCCAACCATTAAGTCAATTGCAGCCCAAAAAAATTCCATTAAGGAACAGGTCCTACAGAAGTGTCATGAGCACTTTGGGAAGAGCGCTTACCTCTGTTTGGGGTCAGCTGTAGCTGAGGAACCATCACCCTCAGTTTTATCTCCTTTTTGATCACCTGTTGATGCTGGTGTTGATTCCTCATCCTTCTCCTTCTCAAGGCCCTTACTATTCTTGGCTGTTCCCTTCTTGACATTTAATGTTTTCTTTGACTGTTGCTCAGTCGTCATCTGACGACCGGCCTGACCTAAGAAACGGCCACCCCTGCCTCGACGGGGAGAAAGATTGTCGCCAGCCCGACGAGGGCCAAACTGATGATCGCGTTGAGGGAACTTGCGTGCTGGTTGATGCATTGAGGGGGCAAGTGTCTGACCTCGGTAGTTATCATAACCCCCACCCTGTTGGAGACACTTGCCACTCAGAGAAATCAAGTGCCCTGGATTCTGACCTTCAACACAAATTCTTTCCAAAGTACTTGTGTTACCATATATGACCCAATTAAACAATATGGGTTAATATGTATGCCTGACAAGGGATAGAGTCAAGGCAGTAACAACAATAGAGGAAAAGGAGTTGCAACATATCCTTTAAACTGAACAGCTTTTTAAAGAAAATGCAAGACATTAAGGAAATTCTTAAAGGGATGTCGATGATTAATAATTTAATATTAACCCAAATGAAAACATATATTATTTTAAAATTCAGAAGGGTGATGGTTAAAAAACTATCACATGTCCGATTCATATAGATGGCAGATGTGAACTGCATGAATGAAATACCATCCAGGGACAAAAGCAATGCCTACATAAAGTAGTACTCGGCAAGAAGTTTTATTTACATCATTGAGTTGGCAACAGCAGCACTGAGAAAATATATATTATAAACAATTATTTCCAAAGAGAGTAACAAAATAAGAGATCACAATAGGTAGAGACTTTCTGCCCAAATAGAAGGTTATATGACACTTGCTACTGCATAATGCAGGTAACAAAACCAGCTAGTCCAGTTCTTGTTGTCTATAAAAATATCTTCCCTGAATCTTTTCAATTTCCAGCATTTCCCCAAAATTTACTGAAATGACAGTTTAAGCTACTGAAGTTAACAGTTGTCAAAATCAAGCACAAACAGAAGTTTGTGAAACCCTTTTCAAATTATATTTTATTTGTAAAGAAACTTTTCACTGTCAGCTACTGAGTAACAACAAAGATAAGGGAAACATAGTCCAATCACTTGTTGATAGTGACTTGTATTGTAGTTAGAATTCATTATTTTGTAATTAAAACAATTCATGTGACAATAAGCCAAACTGTAATCTACAGCATTTTTTATGCCAGTGATTGAAAAAATAGAAGAAAAAGAAAGAAAAAATATTTATGTCACTGACTCCCACAAATGTGCAGGGTTCTAGTCCCCATACAAGGAGGGTTAGCTTATTCCAGCACATTGGCATGAGAAGAGCAACTGGTGCTTTGCACACTAAACAAACACGCCTCCGTGGACAATTTCAAACCCGGATCTCTATGATCCAAATTTGGCTAGGCACCCCTTGGAGTTCCAAATATACTCTACTATTAAATATATCCCAACCATACCGGAAACTAAACAAAAAATAAATAAAAAAATGACAAGGCTACTCACCACATCCATGCACATCATTTTATTGGCAGGAGGTCCACTACTCCAGCCAATCTGATTTTGACTCTCAGAAGCCCGCTAATTAAAAAATAAATAAATACAAAGTATTAAACACCTGCAAAACTATATTTTACAAAAACAATGTAAATAACAATTCTGTAAATTTTTTTATTGATGTTGATTATGATTATACTGTTCTTCTTTTTCCATATGAAATGGGATGCATCAGGAACGTCTCTTCAGTCAAGAATATCCTCAACATGCATAAAAGGAGACGCTTTAAATTTTCCCAAGAAGATAGAGCACTTGTCACTACAGGCATCCCCAATTTTGTGACAATGGGTAAAATTCTCTCATATCTAAATTATTTAAATTTTAACAAATTAAAAACCAGCATTGAATGCAATGAAACCCCTCTTTCTGGGAGCCTGTGGCTCCTTGTTGTTAATAGAGAAAAGTAAAATAGGACTCACTGGGGGGAGGGGGAGAAGATGAGCAAAATTCAAAACTCCAAAGGAGAGAACTCAGGAAATGAAACCATACCCAGGCCAACACAAGCTTGAATGGGACTTAGACCTGGTAGACCTCCAAAACCCCGAGCCCAGAAATCAGGCCAAGACAAAACAGAAAGTATGTTGGTCAAAGCTGAAAACTACTGAACACCATGGGTATGAAAGTAGTCCATAGGCTGAAGAGATTTTATGACAAGTCTGACACAAGTTAATGAGCCTTGAATTGGTATCAAAGAGACCAGATCAATAAAGAATGCATTCCCCCAAAGCAGTCCAGGTCATGCATAGGTAGCAATGAATAACCTCGACCAAACAACAAATGATGCAATGGTAGAAACTAAGAATCAGTGACTATAGGACCACTTTGGAACCCAACCACCAGAAAAAGAACAGGGTACAGATAAAGAAACCACCCACCAAGACCAAATGAATAAAGTTCCTCCAACCCTACAACCAAGCCAGCACGTACTCACTTAGTTGAGAGACGGTACCCCTGCAAGCACAACTGTCAATCAACTGGTGTACAGATTTTGGAGCCTATTGGGCTCTATCAAATCTACATTTGAAACTACAGTATGTATGGAGTCTGCCTCCACCATATCACTGCCTAGTGCATTCCATTTGTTAACTACTCTGACACTTAACCCTGTCAAATTCCCTGATAATTTTGTAGGTGGTTATCATGTCTCCCCTTATTCTTCTGTCTTCTAGGGACGAGAGGTTTAGCTCCCATAGCCTTTCCTCGTAGCTCATACCTCTCAGTTCTGGGACTGGTCTGGTGGCATACCCTCCAAATCTTCTCTAACTCTGTCTTGTGTTTAACTAGGTATGGACTCTATGCTAGAGCTGCATACATGGAGCATAACAGTCATCGACCAGGAAGGGAAGCCAATAAAAAATCCCAGACGAGAACCATCCATGTCTGAACCCAGGATAGTACCAACTGAAACTTCCACCAGAACACAGGGAACCCAAACCCAGATGGCTGGGAAAGGAACAAACTCTGGCTTGCCGACACAAGGATTGGCTAGAAGCCCAAACCAGCCAGTCGTTAACCCTTAAACTGCATATGGCATACATATACAACAGGACCTGATGGTACCATAAGTTAAATTTCTCAAACTTGCTGAAACGCTTTCCAATTTGTTGTGTATAATCTACTAGCAAATCCTGCAACTTTGTCTAAATGATCACAAACATAACTTGAGAAATAAGAAAAATTATGAAATTAAATATTGAAAACTTCAGATTTTCAAATCAGATGCAAAAATATAAATTATTACCAATTGTTCATTTGGTGTTGTTATGCCCTCAGAATAGCATGATATTCATTTTCACAGATTTAGGATATTGGTTTTTCAGTTAGGTGGTTGTAAAAAAAATTGTCAATGTGGCATTTGAAATACTGTATACGCCAAATTTAGACTAATTTTTTTTTTTAACTCCAAACATTTAGGATTTATGAAAAATCCATTCTAATAAGGTTACAGAACTGACAGCTGTGCACACTGTATGTAAAAATGGTGAAAATTGGTCAGAAACTGGATTTTTTGAAGCTGACTCACAGTTGAAATTCTAGTTTTTAGAGATAATTGAAGTTGAAGTTATCGACAATGAATACTGTAGTTCTAATTCCTTTATTTACTTGTATGTTTTAATAATCATTGTTTGGCATTCACACTCGAATGTGAAAGTTGTAGGTCAATATGTGTTGGAAAGAAGTCAAGAAAAAATACCCCCCCACCAAAAAAAAAAATATGGGGAAAATTATAATGATTTAAGGGATAAATATGTATACTTGATATAAGTGATAAAGCGATAAAGCCCTAATCTGGTCCCTAATCATCAAAACAACCTAACCCTGTCAAATCCCCTGATAATTTTGTAGGTGGTTATCATGTCACAACGAAAATAGCTTGAAATCTGTGAAAAAATCAGCAAAAAAAAAAAAAAAAAAAATAATCAAAGTCCCAAGTTCTACCAGTTGTGATTGATTTATTTGTTGACCAAATTCATTCTATCTTCATGTAGTTAGGGATGGGTATGCACTCTCCAGGATGTAGAGGTTACAACAAAATTAGATAATAAACAAAGGATGAAAAAAATCCAACAAATATTTTTTGGACATTGGTGAAAGTAACATATTAACATTGGGCAATGTATTTTTATGATATACAGTAGAACCATGAGTGATGACCGCCTCAAATGGCGACCAATTTGGGTAACGAATGCCCTGATCGCCGACAATTCGTCTCGTTAGGCGACCGCTCGTTTGAATAACCAACACAACATGGTGGGGTCGCGGGCTGCTTCTCGCACATTCTCAGACGCCTCCGACGATGCAAATAAATTATTTTTCTTTGTTTAAAGATGCTATTGATGCTGGGATGTTGCAAAGCATTGACTTTTATGTAGAAAAACAAAATGAATTGTTTTAAAGAAAGAACAAATGTCAAAAAGGTTTGTTCGGTGTTTGTCAGGTAGGCTGCTCTGTTATTGAGAAATAAATGAAAAATACAAAACAAATGGAACACTGTCGGAAAATCCGACACCATTTAATAATCATACAGATAATAGCTGTATTACCAACAAGTTACCCATAGAAAACGTAACTTGTAGTGGAATTACCGTCTAAGAAAACGGGATATCATCACCACATACTATTATAATTCACCAGCTATTCTGCTGGGAATTATTCTTAAATACATAAGTCTTTGGACTTTACCATCATAAAAACATCTTATATAAATTAACTTAATTATCAATATTAAAGTAGAGTAAATGTGACCCTTCTATCACTTTCTGAAATCTGGACAAAGTAGGCCAGGCGTCAGTGAGTGGAGGAAGGAGGGCAGCCATTGTTGTTATACGAGACCAGAGGCTCACACGGGAGCAAATTCGGCTCCTGTTAATTTTACTTGGACGTAGTGTTATGGATACCAAAGGTGTACCATCTGTCAACACGCTGTCAACAAATCAAGTTAAGTGTTCTTTCCGAAACCCATTATTTATCATTAGTGGCCATTAATGTCATTATATAGGGTGATCCGGTTAGATCACTTGGAAGCCTCAAACTAAAGGTAATTAAGCCAGGTCTTTAATGTTCCATGTACTGTATAGTGTTTTCTCTGATATAGCTTGTCATATATAGGATTCTGGCTTCACAGCTAGCGCACTTTTGACAGGTCAAGACGAGGATGCAAGAGTTTGTGCACCAGTTACTGGGTGATATGGAAGCTACCTCAAAGAGGATAATTTGGTGTCTTCACCCTAGTTATACCTGGTGGACTAACCTGCTGTACTATAAGATAAGGAACCTCTTTAATGTATGTAGTTATTTCTGTAGTTTGATTGGCTGCATATATATATTAATTTAATAACCCCCCCCCTAATGTGTAGAGGATCGATTTGTGAGATTAAGAGATTATTGCAGAAATACAGTCCACTTATCATTATACAAATTGCTATCGAAGTATATAAATTAACGTAAATATAAATTCATATAAATTAAATAAATATAAATCTCACAGGTCGGTTCCCACATTAATTGGTCATCTTCGAACCGGATGACGGATTATTTGATCCTTTGAACCCACATTTGGTCATCTTAGTACCGGATGAACCAGTTAACCAGTGGATTCATTAAATATACTAGTGCAGTGTGATTTAAACAAAGGCCAGCAGTCAAGACGGCAGCCTAGCCTCGAGGGAGCTCAGGAGCCTCCCTCAGCCCAGTTCAGCTTCGTCAGCGGTTTCATGCACACCCACAGATATTTGGTGGCGTGTTATTCTGTGAAATGACAGCGCTAATATAGAAGCCATCCAAATTAGTGACTGTGTCGCGAGATTGTTCACGGATTTCGTGGTGTTACATTTCGCGAGAGATTATCTACGAATTTTGTGGAGTTTATTTCGTGAGGTCACTAATAATATTTAATACTTCTAGATAATATTAGAAGTTTCATAGAGGCTAATTAAGAGGCTATTATCAATAATTGTGTATATTATTTCTCCAAGATAGAGAATTATTTAATATATATTGCACTAGTGATCACAGTATAATATTTACTAATTGCCAACCCACAACAGGGTAGGATATGACTAGTTGAACTATTATTGCTCATCCTAGTCCCATTATTACCATAGTCAGTTGTACTATATTCAACAACCTAACACCATTAATGAATGGTGCAGACCCTATTTTGGGTGTAATTTTTATCAACTCGAGTTGAGTTGTATATATAATAATTTACTTATGATCATTACACCTTTGAGTGATTAATTAGTGTCTCTACCATCCTAGGGTGATATAGAAGAGCTAACCTAAAGGTACTTCCATGACACTGGTTTATCACTCAAATCATTAGTGTGTATGATTGTATATATATAATGTGTATTAATTTTAAGTGCTAACCTCTAGTAGAGGTAGGATTATTGCCTAGTGAGTTCAGAATTTACCCTAGGCTACCATTAGTGTTTGTTCAGTATTATGAGCAGCCCAAGTACAAGTCCCACAAGGCTTCACCAACGAGCCAGTATGGATAATGCAGGGAGAATGAAAAGAAC